GCTGACACGCTGTCTTCCATCTTGGATATATGTCGTAATGGTCATCACTATCACTATCGTCGTAATTATCATCATCACCACCACCACAATCGTCATTGTCACCATCATCATCATCATCATCATCATCGTCGTCATCATCATCATCATCATCATCATCATCATCATCATCATCGCCATCACCGTCACCATGATTGTCATCTTCATCATCATCACCCCTATGGTCTATAATGAAAGGATAGTACCATATGGAATGTCGTACCTACATATACATATGTAACATAAACATTCGTTCCATAGTTTCCGTAGGTCATTGCCAAACGTGATACATCAACATAGTGACATATATAGCTCTGGGAGATATGGATATCAACTTACACGCAGGATAAAAGTATCCAAGGCAGGAGAAGCATCAAGAAAAGAAACTAGAGATAAAATGTATTGGCTTGGGGACATGACCATTTCTGATACGAGTATGATTTCCAAGTGTCTGAGGCAAGGGAGTTTGGACGGCAGCACTGGAATGTTGACATTCTGAAGAAGGAAAAATCCCAAGATTAACTATGTGTCTGTTTTTTCCAGCATAAAACTGGTATATACATCCAAATATACAATTGTTGACTATATATATAGTACTAGAGGGCGTACCTCATCAAAAGAGCGCATGGTAAGCCTCTCAACATTTCCTGCGATGGATGGAAGCATGGCACGAGCATGGCAGAGAAGAAGAATGCAATCCAAGTTTACATTGTTAAGCTGAGAAGGATTCCTGACAAAGATTTCTATACAGGGCAGCTCAAGCTTCTCCAGCCCCCCCCTCCCCTCCCTCGTGTCGCCCCGCTTGGGCGACCCGAGGGGCGCAAACCCTAGCCCCGCCGTCCCCCTCCCCTCCTCGCCCTTCCCTCGCCGCCGCCTGAGGCAGCTGCTGCCGGGCAAGCTCGGCGCGTTGCTGATGAAGGCGGCGGCGGGGCCCTCGCCGCCTCGCCGCCCATGGGGGGCCTTTGGATCCGGGGCGGCGCACTACTAGGAAAAACCTTATACACAGAAGCTTATCAGCGGCGAGGTCTAAAAAAGGGCGCTACTGCTAATTAGTAGTAGCGAGGGTTATAAAACCCGCGCTACTACTAACTTGATAGTAGTAGCGAAGGTTATAAACCCACGCTGCTACTAAGTGATCTCCACCAATGCCCCCGGTACAGGCCATAGTAGTAGCGAGGGGTATAAAACCTGCGTTACTACTACGTACATAGCTATAGCGCTGGTATGACCCCACGCTATTACTAATCGTGTCCACTCCCACCCCACCCCGGCTGGCCCGATCCACTCCCACCCCACCACTCTCTCTCTCTCTCTCATCCCAAAAAAAACCTCTCTCAGGAACTCACGATCTCCTCACGATCCAGCCCAGCTCCTCTCCCCACGATCTCCTCGCCACCGCCCCCACCCACGC